TAGTAGTAGTAGTAGTAGTAGTAGTAGTAGTAGTAGTAGGTAGTAGGTAGTAGGTAGTAGGTAGTAGGTAGTAGGTAGTAGGTAGAAGGTAGTAGGTACTAGGTATTCGGTAGTAGGTCGTAGGTCGTTGTAGTCGTAGTCCTAGTCCTAGTCGTAGTAGTAGTAGTAGTAGTAGAAGAATTCGTCGTAGTAGTAGTAGCAGTAGTAGTAGTAGTGGTGGTGGTAGTAGTAGTAGTACTAGTAGTAAAGTGGTAGTAGGTGGTATAGTAGGCGGTAGTAGGTGGTGGTAGGTGGTGGTAGGTGGTGGTAGGTGGTAGTAGGTGATAGTAGGTGGTGGTAGTAGTGGTAGTAGGTGGTAGTAGTGGTGGTGGTGGTGGTGGTAGTGGTAGTGGTTTTGGTAGTCGTAGTAGTAGTAGTAGTGGTGGTGGTGGTGGTGGTGGTTGTGTGCGATAGTTTGCGTCATGTTTGTCTGTATTATTTTGCTTCACGCATACTTCAGTCCCACCATCCGGCAGTCACATGTTGAGCGAAGCTGGAAGTATATATTCAAAAGTCTCATATGCTCTCAACCTTGTTTCGTTTGCATTTGCATTCTGCATGCCGGCCAGGGTAGTCTTTGAACTGTTGACAGGTTGACAGGTTGTCTTTGTCCTTGTGCAATGATCTTTCAGGATGGTAGTCCAATGGATGAAGTCGGCGGGGCTTTGGCTTGACCTTTGCCACGATTGAGAACCGAAAACGCTTTCCCGGCAAAAACCATAACAATGCCTTTTTAGGCAAAGGATGCACGTGTGTTCTGCATCAAATCCGGGGCACAGGTTCTGGAGGCTTTTTGGGCTTGACATCCTCTTCATCAGATACGTCCAGCTTATCCCACTTTGAGTAGTCTACCATCCTGTCACATGGCACCCAGGATCACCGCAGCTGGAGCGCTAGGTGAGTGGTGGTCGATTCCATGGTTTGGACAATCGTTCATGCTCGGCCACCTGCAACACCACCACGGCTATTGCACTCCAGCTTGATGCTTGGATGGTAGATTTGACCATGGACGTAACTCCTACGACTGGTTGAGAGTTGAGACATTGTTGCAGTTGCAGAAGAATACCGTGCTTGTCATCGAGACCGGTCCTGCTGTCGCTTCCATTTCATTTTGAAGGTAAACAATACATTCGAGCCGCAAGCTGCATGATCGCAGAATGCTAACCCCGCAAGGCACTTGGCAGCATATGCTGAAGTGGCATGTAACGAGACTTTCTTGAGGGCAAAGCAGGACAGCATCAAGGGCATGATGTACCGGTGAGGAACACCCTGAAAATTTGAATCCTGAAGGTCCTGAAGTGCATCTGAGTTCATTTGCAAAACGATTTCAAACGACTGGGAATAACTGGCCCAAAGTGGACATGTCACTCCACTGCTGGGTGCAACATGGTGCAACTTCAGAACATATCTGCACCTGCATCTGCCCGCAACCAGGTGAAAATGCCCATCACAATGTAGGCTTTATTGGACAGCACCGGGTTTTAATGGCAAACACTGTCTCACAACACATTGTGGCAAATGTTGAATCACAACAAGCATCTGCCATTCACAGCTCGTCCATCCAAAAACTCTGGAGCCGGAACAGTGCATCTAGTGGTGGCATACAAGCGAAAATCTCGTGGGTGTTCCTTCACGCATATGATGTTCAGCCTCAGCTTTATGGCTACCTGAGCCCTTCTGAGAAGGACGGCCAACTTCAAATCTTGGCAGATTGCTCAAGCACGAGCATCAACAACAACAACAACATCATCAACAACAGTATATCTTATTGTATTGTGTTTACATACATATGCAATCTATGCAATTTACAGCGGTTGGCTGTGATTGAGCATAGGTCTCATCCTTCGCAACCTCACGAACTGAGATGATCTGATCGAAACAATCTGAGGTCTCACGCAACAAGGTATGCAAGCAGAGTTCATTGAATTTGTTCATGTTATTACAAGCAACAATTGAGTTTGCTGCGGGACAAAGCATTCTGGAGCGAGCAATTCGAACCCTTTGTAGTCATAGGCAAGAAATATCAAAAGCCCCAGAAATCATGCAAGGAGCATCAAGGAATCACTGCAAAGTATCAGCACAAGCTGCACATCTTCACAGTGTAAGCAAGCTTATGTTCCAGGCTCAAAGGACTGACAGGATGCACCTTTTAGGTGCCCTAGTGTCCCAAGCCAGCACACTATGATTGAAAGAGATCAGGGTTAAGCCGACTGGAGCAAGGGCTCCTGCGTTGCAATCTTCTCTTTGTGCATCAAATAGTGACCAGTACTCCAATTGATGCCTTTGAAGCAGTAGAAGTTCGTGTTTGCATCAAATAATTCTTCCAGGAGCGTCTGTAGAATGATGCCATACACCCAGGAAATTGCTGCTCGTCGAGATATAGGCTCCCATTTTTGTATATAGTCTGCATCTAGTTCGCCAAGATGACTAGTCACTGCTTCCAGAATCTGGTCACGAGTGAGCCACTTGTTGTAGCCAAGCCCCATGACTAAGTCTCTCTCAGTTGGCTCTCCAGCCACATAGAGTCCAAGCCATTCAACCAATGCAACGTTTCCCTGTCTCTGTTCATTCTTGAAGCTTGGAATATGTGCTACTAGCGCTTTTGTAGCAAGCCTCACCAAGGCAAGTTCCTTCACCAAGTCCTCACCGACAATCTTTTGTCGATTTGCCTTGTCAGCTAATCCTCCTGGCATCGCTACGAACGGAGCAAAGGACGCTACTAGGGCTCCTGGCGGTACTACTATTGTAGTAACAAGAAGCTATTAGAAACGAGATATAAATAGAACTAGAGTTAAAAATATAATTCAATTTATATCTAATTAGAATTTAATTGGATTTTAAAGCAAAGGAAACTACTAGGACCTTTTCGCGCGCGCGCAGCAGGGGTGGTAGCCAGGACGCTACTCGGGGCTCCTGGTTGCAGCACCCCATTGCGGAAGCTGAAGAGTTCTGGTGTCACACGCCCCCGCCTTGGCGACTAAACTGACCGCCTACGAGGACGACACGTAAACTGACCATAGTGTACTCAACAACATTCTGAGCACCTGAGTACCTGACACTTCTATACTGTATACACCTGTAATGTAATTACACAGATGTTTACACCGTATGCAATGTACAGTAATTATCTAGTTATCTGTATTACTCACATCATCAATCATGTTAAACAAAATCGCTAACAACCAAGCGGACGTATCGATTGACACGCAAGCATTCTACCATCCACGTTTGACCCATAATCCCATTCGCATGACAAGACACCAAGCAAGCTGACAAGACATGCCGCCACCGGAAAGCATACCATCGAACAAATCCCGATCCAAATCTGGTGCATAGTCTAGCGCATGCTGAAGTGCCTCCCATTCGGCTCTGGCCTGAGGATCGGGTTTGACACCAACAACGGCGTATATATTCAAATGCACCCTTTACTACTGACTTGATTATCTTGTCGGTCAGGTATAAATACTCTTTTAATAAAACGTTCATGATATTATTTCATGATCAATGATTGAACACCCGCTCGAACCCAATTACTGCTTACAGAGATTCGATGAGTCTGACGAGGTACCTCCTCTTCACCGCTCAGCACCATAAAGCGCGCACGCGAACCAAAGCGGCCACCCAGGGCATGTTGAAAGACCTGGAGGCGTTCTTGCTTCAAAGAGCCATCCTGCGAGGAACAGGGTTCCACTGAGCGCTTCACTTGTTGGGATCTTTACGGGGGAATGCCTAATGAATAAAAGTCTGATATGCGGGTGTTGATCTAAATTCCTTTATCTGGGATCCGTCATTCTTAGCCAAGAAACAATCCGCCGACCCCTGCTCTGGCGAAGGCAGGGGCGGCGCCTGGGACCACCGAAGGTGTGGAACCTGAGCTCTCCAAATCCTTACTTTTCTGGGCCCGAAAGCAAAAGCGCCAAAAGTTCGCACTTGCTAGACTGTGGGCTCTGGGCTCTGTGCCAGACTGTGGGCCATACTGGCCGTTGGAGCAGCCAGCTTCTGGATTCTGGACGCTTCAGACGCTCCAAAACCTCGCACTTGCCAGACTGTGGGCTCTGGGCTCTGCGAGACTGTGGGCGGAGTTGCGCAGGCTGTGGGCTCGGGGCTCTGGCGTGCCAAATCCTTTTTTCTAGTGGCCCGAAACTGCCCTTCAAACGCCTCAAACCCCTCAAACCCCTCAAACGCTTCGACACTTGCCATGGTTGTGCCATACGTCTGGATTCTGGACGCTTCAGACGCTCCATGGACGCTTCAGACGCTCCAAAACCTCGCACTTGCTAGACTGTGGGCTCTGGGCTCTGTGCCAGACTGTGGGCCATACTGGCCGTTGGAGCAGCCAGCTTCTGGATTCTGGACGCTTCAGACGCTCCAAAACCTCGCACTTGCCAGACTGTGGGCTCTGGGCTCTGCGAGACTGTGGGCGGAGTTGCGCAGGCTGTGGGCTCGGGGCTCTGGCGCGCCAAATCCTTTTTTTCTAGTGGCCCGAAACTGCCCTTCAAACGCCTCAAACCCCTCAAACCCCTCAAACGCTTCGACGCTTGCCAATGGTTGTGCCATACGTCTGGATTCTGGACGCTTCAGACGCTCCATGGACGCTTCAGACGCTCCAAAACCTCGCACTTGCTAGACTGTGGGCTCTGGGCTCTGCGAGACTGTGGGCGGAGTTGCGCAGGCTGTGGGCTCGGGGCTCTGGCGCGCCAAATCCTCTTTTTTTTAGTGGCCCGAAACTGCCCTTCAAACGCCTCAAACCCCTCAAACCCCTCAAACCTCTCAAACGCTTCGACACTTGCCAATGGTTGTGCCATACGTCTGGTTTCTGGACGCTTCAGACGCTCCATGGACGCTTCAGACGCTCCAAAACCTCGCACTTGCTAGACGGTGGGCTCTGGGCTCTGCGAGACTGTGGGCGGAGTTGCGCCGGCTGTGGGCTCGGGGCTCTGGCGCGCCAAATCCTTTTTTTCTAGTGGCCCGAAACCGCCTTCAAACGCCTCAAACCCCCTCAAACCCCTGAAACCCCTCGAACCTTGCCAATGGTTCTGCCATACTGGCCGTTGGAG